CGGCTCGCCTTTCCCTCCCTTCCGCCTGTCCGATTCCATCTTTCAACGTGTGCCCTCTATTCCCCCCACCAATCCTGTGTCTGTCCCGTCTCTCTTCCCGTCTTTCTCCATTCCTTTCTCTTCTCCGTTGGGACACTCTTCGTGCTCCTAATATTCCAATACTCTATGTGGCCCCGGTGGATCTGGTATGTCCTTTCTTCTCTTTCAGTGTCTTTCACTCTTTCCCTCTTAATTGCTCTCTCTCCATCACCTGCATATCCACATTTACCCTATCCCTCTCGTGATTCAGGCCCTTCGTCGTTATTCTGCTCTCTCCTTGCCTCACAACTTGTTCCACTCCCTCCGCGTTGAGCCCCTCTTCCTGACTTGCAATCTCTTCTTCCCCACCTTGTCAAGATCGCCCTTCACGGCCTGCATTCCTTTCTTTCCGCTCCACTTCATACATCCTCACCCTGATTGGCTGACATTCTGACCTTCTCCCCTTCTCTCGATCCCACATCCTGGTCGGCTTCCTCCCAATCCGCGCTGCCCGTCTCCTTCAAAACCAATGGGGTCCCCGACCTACACCCTCCTCACATTTACTTGAGGAACCTCCTCGACATCTTCCCCCTCCACAACCTCCTCATCGCTGGCAACCTTACCTTGCATGCTTCAACGTATATAGGTGGTTGTCCTTCTGCTTCCTCTGTCGCCGCATCCCCATACTGACCGACCAAATCCCGACCCTCTCATCCTCCTGAGCCCGCATCCTCACCCTCCCGCTTCGTCCTTCTCCTGCTGCTTCAGCAGATCAAAAATTCCGTGGCCACCTTCTCCTCCCTGCCTGGCCAGGCACCTGACCTCCCCCCAGTGTTACTACTCTCCCTGCCTCCACGCATTCGCGTCATGGTCCTCGCGTACACCTTCCGATATCGGCCATGCACAAATCCTGTCCCGCTTGCAACATAACAATCCCACAAAAATGGAGTTGCAGCCCTAAACGAATGGACATATGAAGGGAAGGAGGCATGAAA